ACGAACGGCATTACACTGGTAGCAATGATAAAAACAAATTAATTAATAATAGTGATGATACAATTAGAAGCGTTTGTCATAAAAGTAAGCTCTTCAAGCATAAAAAGATGTTTGATAATGCGCTTAAGCGACACAGCGCTTAGAAGAGTTCAATTAGTAAAATAACTTATTCGCTAAGACGCCTTACAGCAACTGTTGTAAATCGAGAGTTACGTGTCGGAAGAGGATTAGAGTTTTAGGATCCCAGTCTAACCGAATGCCAGCCAAATGCAGGACGTTCTTGGGCGCCATGCCTATGAACGACTGCTAACAATGGTTCATTGTTCAACAGCAGCGGCCTCAAGGTCGTGCGTCTTCGATACGACTGTCTTCACGCGATGATCTTAAGCAGCTGGACCGCACACACGCGCGTGTCCGACTAGTCACAGTTCTTCAAGGGCGACTTAGGTCCGGGATGAAGTAGGTGACCTCAATTCTGGATACCCTTCGATTAATCCATGCACCAATCACGAAACGCTTGAACTCACTTGACAATCAATTATGAGCAACTTCCCCATCGCACACAGTGAGTTGCAACACGGACTGGCCATATCCAGTACAGCTCAGGCTCGTGCTTCGTCCAGCGGCCAGACACCCAGCCATAGACTTCGCAAGGGGCGGAAGTACCACTCGAGAGAGGAAATCATATTTTTGTACAGTGTTTCGTCCCTTGACTTCTCTGACTGTATACAGCAGTCACGCGTACGCAAAAACCCGTGATAAGAACTATCAACGTGTAGACGGTGTCACCAAAGTTTTTATACCGTTAAAACAGATAGAACCAGTGTCTACCACTTGTAACTAAACATCCTATCATTTTCCGTCTCAACACTTCCTAACGCGTTTACTACGGCAGTGTTCATAAGAACCGAATGGCCGTACAGCACAATGCCATATTGTCTCAACTATAAAGATACGGGGCTGGATCTTGCGGACCAAAAAAGTGATTAACTAGTCCGAGAAAAAATTATTACAATTTTGAACACATTTTTCTCAGCCATGCCAACAAGCAATGGCCCGCTCTCTATCAATCTGAGCGGTGTTCGCTAAACGGGGACGCGCCTTCGAAAACCGAAAGCGTCACCTGTTTACTTGCATCAGATCTCGGTCTGTATATCGGAAAAAACGCAATCCTCGGATACTTATTTGTTCTCGTATACTTTCTGCGGAGTTGTGGATCGCATAGCTTGACCAATGGTGTAATACTATGACAATAGAAGCAATTTGAAGGCAGCGGAAAGAGCGTCTCAGCATACGGTAGTTCACATTTCTGCACATTCCTTTTCTAAATTTTTTCTGCGTTTGCAAATAAAAAAAACTCTCAATAATATAAGTTTTCATTGAAACACAGAGAAAATCTTATTAGTCTGTGACCATATATTTTTTTGTTTAATTACATTAATTCAATCATATATGTCCTTGCCGAAGAAATGCAACGTTGCTTGAATTGGCGGGGTACTTGTTACTTCGACTATCGTAGTGTGGCCATTAAACAGGCTCCATTCAAATCTTGATCGTAAGCCTCATTTCCAAACTTAGGAGGCTTGCCTTTATACTGACACTATCCTCTATATTTTACAATTGATATCTATTTAATCGTTTACCTACTTATATTAATTGCATGTGCGATTGCAAATGATCATGTGTTCGACATGAGATAATCTCTGTTAAGATGATGGTATGATACATATAATCCTTTTGGTGCAGTGTTCGACGTTATATAACTGTAGTCACTTACTTTAACTGCTGTTGCGTCAATCACGATCCTATTCAGTAAACTCAAAAATGAGTGCGCATATACACACTGTCTAGTCTATGCGCATTCGTCATGAATGCATCACAGGCGTCCTGTATAGAGGACATTGCATCATGTGCAATATGGAATATTAGTTGTCAATGCTTGTAAATATCTCACCTGTCTGTTCGTTCTGTTATTTAGTTCATCTTATTCTTGTTTGGTCTCCATATTTACAGTCATACTTTTAGTTGGAAACGACCGGTAGCGTGGTATTATGATCGAAGAGGAGCAGAAAAGATGCAAGCAAGCTACACCGAAGGACACGTAAGCTCCAAGTCTAAAGTTGAAAATTTAGTTGGAATTTGGCCTACGTCTTCCTATTCATCCATGGAGTTGGATTTCTACTCCCCTGGAATGTTTTTATCAATGCAAGAGAGGTATTTAACAACGTGGCTTACGCTTTTCCTAGTATTTCGTGGACTATAAATTAAATACAACAAGCAGCCGAAATGTGGACTACCGAATTCATTTCGTTAGTTATCTAGGTATATGCGCCCAACTCCCAAACCTTATAATGGCTGCATGGAACACATTTTACCAATCGAAAACAAGGTAATTTATGTCTAGATTGAGCATTTTACCTTAATTTAGACCATAATTTTACATTTATCAAACACTATTTAATGCATTTTTCAATTGTAGTATTTGGTTAGTTGGATGATTTTATCGTTTGATTAAATAACGTTTAAAGTCGAAAAGATTGTCGGTTTTTATGTTACCAGACCTTATGCAATTCAAAACGGTTCAGCATTGTTATCTTCGAAAATAATATTTTCCGGAATACGGTTAAGAGAAACCGATTGAGTACTGTTTTTATAACGGTGGCCAAAAAGCTGCGATATTCCCGTCTGACTAACGCCTCGAGTGAGCCCCGAAGGAAGAACACAACAAGAGTGTATAGAAAGCAGAAGTCTTG